AAAACAAGAGGTGGGGAAGTTTGCGAATATGAGATTGAGTTATAAAGGTACTGCTACATTACTGGCTTTGAAGATGGAATGAAGTCATGAGCCACAGAGTTCAGGCTCCGTCTAGATGATGGAAAGGGAAAGAGCTTCTGGAGGACATAGCCTTGCTTCCATGGTGAAACTGTAGATTTCTTACACCCTGACCTGTAAGATCACAAATTTGGGTGTGCCAGTAGAAAGCTAGTAAAAGACTGTTTACCACATGAGTATGTTAGAATTTATCTATTCTACCTGTGTTGGGCATTTAGGTTGTAGATAGCATGACTGTGAGCACTTCCATATCTATCCTGGTGACCAAGTGTTTTTCTGGGATACTTACCTAAGAAAGGAGTTTGGATGTCACAGAGAAACATGTCTTTAGTCATCTGGACCAAGAGCTGTATCTCAAGTGTGCCCTCAGCAGTGTACAAGAGCACACACTTTACTGATGAGTCTTTTTGGAGCTGGACATGGTGGTGTATACCTATAATCCCAACATTTAGGAGGCTGAGGAAGGAGGATTATTCATTGTGATTTCGAGGCCAGCCTCAGCTATAGTGAGGTAACTTCAGTAGAGATCATCTTTGGAGGGAGGAAAGAGAAGTACATTAAATATGTATGAAAATGTCAAAATGAAACTGGTTATTTTGTCTAATTAAAACATGCTAATAGAAGGAAACAGTCTCCAAAATTAAGTTTGATGCCAGCTGAAATGCTTCTGTCCTTTATTTTATGATGGGGTACTCAAAATTTCTTTTGGTTAAAAGCATAAAAGTAATTTTACTTCTTTCCACAGTAGATGGCATTTGTTTGTTTCCTTTCTCTCTCTGTTTTCCTTTTGTTGTTTGTTTTGTTTTGTTTTTAGACAGGGTCTCAATGTATATCATTGGTTGGCTTGGAACTCACTGAGATCCACCTGCCTCTGCCTCTTGAGTGCTGGGATTATAGGTGTGTGCTATCATGCCTGGCTTTATTTTCTTTTGATAAATTCTAATTTTCTACAAATTTTTACTGTAATTCAGGTTGTAAGCATAGAATGAAACAATAGTTTTCTTCTGTTAAAAACATTTTCATAGGAATTTGGTAAGTACTAGTTATATAGTAGTTTTCAGTTTTTGGTCCTCCATGCAAACCCAATTGGTTCTTTTTATTAGTAGTCAAACAATACAGACTGTTTTGTAGATACTATACTTGTGAGTGGGATTGTGAGTGTTCCTGTAAGTTAAGGAACTTGCAAAATGAGGTATTACATGTTACTGTAATATTTATTGAGAGAGGTAAACATGTTATATCATCATTTATTAATACTTGAGACAGGGTTTCTTTAGCTTTGGAGGCTGTCCTGCAACTTGCTCTGTAGGTGAGGCTGGCCTCAAATTCAGAGAGATTCACCTGTCTTTGCCTCCCAAGTGCTGGGATTAAAGGCATGAGCCACCACCATCCAGCCTTTGTTAGCTTTTTTAAAGGCAAATTTGTAGAATACACTCTAAAAGTACAATGGTCTAGACAGTAATGGGAAAATAACCCAGATGAAGAAAATAAGGCATGGAGAAGTAATGGATGCAACAGTCTAGGTAGTTTGGCTTTAGCCTCTGATGTGTGGCATTAGAAGACAGTAGATTCACTGCAATGTTGTGTTCATTCTTTAGATGAAACTTTATTAGTTCATTTTCTTGTTCTGTGACCACCTGATGAGAAGCAATTGAAGAAAGAGTTTTATTTTAGCTTACGATTTGAAGGGATACAGTCCACCAGGATGGGAAAAACCTGGAGGGGTGGCTTTGTGGCACTGGGTTATGGAACATCTGCTTTCCTACATCTTAGAATCCTGAGAGATAAGAAGCTGCACTAGGCCATAAACCTTAAGGACCATCCCCAAAGAGAGCCATTCCCTTTGGGTTCTACAACCTCTCAAAATGGCACCATCTGGGGACCAAGAGACACGAGTCTATGGGTAACATTTCATATTCAAACCATGACCCTCTTCATCACTTTATTTGGTTTAGTTTGTGTTTTTGTACTGCTGTGTGTTGTGGAGGGTTCTTGTCCTACTAGGACCCACAGCCATGCTCAGTCCCAAATAAATACACAGATACTATATTAATTATTAACCTGTTGGTTGATGGTTAGGGCTTCTTATTGGCTAGCTCTGTCTTAATTATTAGCTTATTTCTATTAAGCTACGTATTTCCAGTGGGGTGGTGGTGTCACACACCTTCAATCCCACTCGGGAGGTAGAGGCAGGTGGATCTCTGTGAGTTCGAGCCCAGCCTGGTCTACAAGAGCTAGTTCCAGGATAGCCTCCAAAACCACAGAGAAACCCTGTCTCGAAAAACAAACAAAACCAAAAATAACAGCAAAAAAACCCCCATGTATTTACCAAGAACACCTGGCAAATCCTTTCTTCCCAGTCCCTACATGGCAACTGTTTCTGGTCTTTCCGCCTACCTTTCCCAGAATTCTCTTCTCCTAGCCCTATCTATCTTCCTGCCTCTATTGGCAAACAGTGCTTTATTCATTAACCAATAAAAGAAATATATATACAGAAGGACATCTCGTATCAGCTGTGGGATCAGTCTGAGGGAAAATGAGCTGAACTGTATCCCTAACCTTGGTTTATTAACCTTTGTTTCTTCCTCCTCCTCCCTTCTTCCCTCTCCCTCTCCTCTCTCTCTCTCTCTCTCTCTCTCTCTCTCTCTCTCTCTCTCTCTCTCTTCCTCCTCCTTCTCTTCCTTTTTGGTATGTCTATGTATGTGTGGTCTATGAGTTCATACTTGTGTCTTCCCTGTTTTATCTAAAAAAAGTTTCCTTGAAGCTATCACACCTCCGGCTCTTACAGGTTTTGCCCCTCATTCATGAAGTTCCCTGCCTCATGAGGGGAGCGGTATATAATACTAATAGGCCATTTAGTGCTGAAGACTCCTAAGTCTCACCCCCTGCATGTTGACTGGTTTCCACTTTAGGTTTTGCAATGGTATCTCTCACTGAGCCTGATACTCATTGGTGTAGCAGTCTGGCCAGCTAGTGGTAAAATTATTGCACCCAACCCTGGGATTAACATGGATATTTATATTCTTACAGCTTTTCTAAGTGCCCCCTTTGCACCTCTTTCTTTGTTCTACTTGTGTCTATCCTTAGGTAACATAGGTGAACCTGTGACTAAAATCACATGCAGGTCTTACTCTGGGCTCTAAGTACCTATTAATTCACTGCGGGTTCATGACTTGGTTATTCAGAAGGTGACAGGGCTGTGATATGGCCTGGCCTTCAGGTTTTAGTCTAGCTCAGATACTGTTAGTGTTTACTAATTAATTTGCCTTGTTTTCCTCAGTCATTTGCTATCTATTGATAGCTATTGAAACAAATGTTTCAAATGTACTCTCTTACATTTACAAGTTGATATTCATTTAGCATGTTCTGTCCATATTTTGATCCTCTTTTGGTCTGTTTTGTCAACACATCCAGATTTAACGTAAGTGTCAGAATTTGTTACCATGAGATTTACTCCCTGTTGTAGATCATTAAGACTGTTGCCAGAGCTGGAGGTGGTGGTGCACACCTTTGATCTCAGCACTTAGGAGGCTGTCTGTCAGTTTCAGGATAGCAAGGGTAGTAAAGAGACTTTGTTTCAAAAACCAACCAAAAGTATATTTCCAGGAAGGAATTTACTCACTAATTTTCTTGAAAACAATGCTATTGCTCTGACTTGTCTTCATGGTGTTAGTTAACAACAATGGTTTAATAGCCATGCTATATAGTTTTTCAGCTATCTATGATGTAGAATTGAAAGGGAACCTGCAATCATACACTGAGAAACTATTGACTCTTTTAATTGAAGCCTGGAATATTGTTATGTATTGCTGGAGATAGTCTGACTTTGTACTCCTAGTTGACCTTCAAGACCCTTTTGTCTCAGCCTTAGATGTGTGCCACAGTGCCCATTTCAAGACTTGGTGTTTAAAACACTTATCTCACAGTGTCTATCAGTCAGCATTTTGAATATAATCCAAGTGGGAATGCTATCAGGATAGATTATGGGTGGAAGTCAGAGGTAGGCTGCAGCCATCACCGGGGCTGGATCCAAATATGTTCAGATGGCTGATGGAAGGGTCTGTACACAGGACAGTTCTTTGCTAATATTGACAACTGTTTTTTTACAGAAGCTGCTTTAATTGCGTGCCAGGTGGTCCTTTCCATGGGGTGATAGGGTGGATGCTTCATGGTTCCAAGCAAACAGGGAGACAGAGAGGAAATAGCTTTCGTCACTTTTGCTGTGTTCTTTTTATTAGAGGCAAGAAACTAGATCCAGCTAAATCCTCAAGGGAGGTAAATAATCAATAGCAGGAGTTAGAGATAATTAGGAGTTAATTTAGAAGTATCTTCATTGCCAGCAGTAGTGGTACAGGCCTTTAATCCCTGCACATGGAGGCAGAGGCAGACAGATCTCTATGAGAGTTTGAGGAATACACAGAGAATCCCTTTCTCAAAATACCAAACCAGAAAAAGCTGCTCCATTTTGTTTGGTTATCATTTAGGGATTCTAGGTTTTCCACTTTTGTTAGTGAGATGTGTATTCTTAAATTAATTTCAGAAGGACTCTACTGTCAATACCATTTTATTCCATGATCTTCTCTTAAATTTAGAGTGAGGTAATGGAAATTGTTCTCTATAGTATTATCTAATAATCTCATTTAAAATGTAAATTTATGGATTTTTTGTTGTTGTTGTTTTTATAGGCTGGCCTTGAAATCACTACATAAATGTGGATGTCCTTATCCTGATTCTCTGCCTCTGCCTTCCAAGTTCAGGGATTATGGGTATGTACCACTAGTCCTTAGTGAAACTTTATTTTCTGTTGTGGTTACAGTATACATATTTGCCTTCTTAAGCATTGAAGCAAACAGTTCAGTGTTGTTAACGTTTGTTTGTTAATTAACTTTTATCTCAAACTGGATCTTTTTCCCTCCTCTCAGAATTGTAAAACCGGTAAGATCAAGTGCCTATTGAAAGAGACTCACTTTTGGCTAAGAAGAGAAGTAGGAACTAGGTTGGTATTACCTTTATACTTAGGAATGAGAGGAGATTGCTAGAAATGGATATTAATTTTTTTAAGTTACATGTATTTATTTGTGTGTGTGTGTGTGTGTGGTGTGTGGTGTGTGGTGTGTGTGTGTGTGTGTGTGTGTGTGTGTGTGTGTGTGTGTGTCGCCACTGTCTATATTTGGCTGTCAGGACAGCTTGCAGGAGTCAGTTTTCTCTTTCTACCACATGGAGCCTGGGAATCAAACTCAAGTCATCAAACCTGGCTATAACTACAGAACTTCTTGCTGGCTTAAAGGTCAAGTCTATTGTCTTGACCAGAGGAGATGTCTTTTGGAAATCTATATGCTCTTCATTACCTCCAAGTTCTTTTTACTTTCCTTTTTGAGGCCAGAAGAGGGCATCAGATCCCCCTGGAGCTGGAATTACAGATAATTGTTAGCTGCCATTTTGGTGCTAGGAAATGAAAACACACAAACATGTAAAGTAAATAAATGAATATAATACAATATTAAATGTTATTAGTTCTGATGATATTAAATTGTATTCTAAACCTATTAAACTGTAAGCTGTTGCCAGGTCTGGTAGCTCATGCTTGTGATACAGTTAATTGGGAGACTGAGCAGGAGAACTAACTACAAGTTCAAATCCATCTTGGATTACAGAGCAAGTTCAAGACGAGTCTGAACAATTCGAGACCCTGTCTCAAAAAAAAAAAAAGGCTAAGGCCTTGCATAATGTGCACAGGGCCCTGGTTCAAAACTGTAGAGTGTTGTAAATTGGCTACCATATCTTTTTCCCTGGCAGTGTGTGTACTCAGGGTACTTATTGGTATATTTGGGTCACCTGCCATTGATGCTCACGCTTACTCTGTGCTATTGCAGTTATTGTAAATATGTGCACTGTGTCTTTGTGGAGGCTGGTCCTCTGTACTAGAGATCATGTATGATACACAGTTTTTGGAATGTAGTTGTAGGGGTTCCCTACCCTTCTAAGGAAGCAACATAATGTATAGAATCAGTAGGCTTCTTGAGGCTAGACTATTATTTGTGTTAATTAGCTCTGCTATTTGCTTTTTTCTTTTGTTTTAGATTAAATGGAAACCACCCTCGGGAGCTAGATGCCTGTGTAGCTGTTTTACCACATCAGTGTTTTGCAATGAGTGGGGGAGGAGAGCAGCCAGATATCCTCAGTGTTGGAATCTTGGTCAAAGAAAGATGGAAAGTGGTGAGTACAAAATGGAGACAGGGAAGAGGTGGGGGAGGGAGGGAGGGAGACAAGCATATAGGGTAATAAGTTTGGTATTCTGATAAAAGTATCATTTTTAAAGGAATAACACCTATATTTCTATTTGCCTAAAGCAGATATTTTGACTTTCCCCCACCTATGATTGTTTTGTTTATGTTTTAATTCTTAGGCTTGCTTTCATAACTTCCAAATTTTCCTGACTTTTTATAGCTAATATTATAAATAAAAGTGTTTGAGGGGAGAACACATTAAAAAGAATTTGGAAGTATAGTGACCGCCTTTTCTTTTTTCTTCTATAACACTATTAAGAAAACTTCTAGCTGGGTTGTGGTGGCATATGTCTTTAATCTCAGCACTCAGGAGGCAGAGTCAGGTACATGGATCTTTGTGAGTTCAAGTCTAGCCTGGTCTACAGAGTTCTAGGACAGTCAGGACTACACAGAGAAACCCTGTCTAAAAAAGAAAAGAAAACTAAGTGTACATAAAAATCAGACAGGTATAATAAATGACCATCTACTTAGACTCAGCCAACAGTTTCTGGTTAGGATGTTTAATCTTGTTTCTCCTCCTAGAGTATTTGAATAGTCCTTATATCAGAATGTGTCTGTAAAAGATACAGAATTATTTTAAAAAATGTAATCACCTACAAAAACTTTTTTTTTTTTTTTTTTTTTTTTTTTTTTTTTATGATACTAGCAATTGAACCCGGGCTTGGCATATTCTAGAGTCATACCTCTAGAATTTTATTTATTTTATTGGTTGTGAGCCTAGACTTCAATGGCTGATCTAGGCTCACAACCAAAATACAAGAAAAAAAATTTTAATGAATGCTTTTGTGAACTTTCACTAATAGACCTATAATATGTTATATATCTTTTTGTGATGTAAGTAGATATTGATGAGCATTGCCCAAGTCTGTTATTTCATTAGAATTTGCAAATTGATTACATTCTGTTTTCTTTCATTTATTAACAAGTATATCTATAAAGACTGTCATTCACTATTTGATTTTTTTTTTGATAGTTTAATTAAGAAATCAAAATAAATGATTTTTCCCCTTAGTTTCCTAACATCCTCCAAGACTAGTGAGTTTTTTTTTTTTTTTTAGTGTTTGCACTGACTTTTGAGGACTTCGGGGTTAGTGTAGTTGGTAGAATGCTTACATAGCAGCAAGGCTGTGGATTAGATCCCAGCACCACATAACTGAGTGGCATAATTGGGTGCCATGGCAGGGTCAAATTCAAGGTGACCAATTCTGTTACATAGAGTTTGAGTTAGAGGCCAGCTTGGGCTAGGCATCATTTGGAAGGGGAAAGGGTAGAGGGAAGAGGTGGGGAACGGAAGAGACAGGGAGAGTGATTCTCGATCCTAATTACTCTTAATAATAAAAACCTCGAGTCAAATATCCAAGTAAAAGCTGAATGATCAGAGAAACAAAGTAACAGCCACAGTCACCTCTTACTTCTCCAGTTAATTCCTCAGGCCAAAAGGGGCCGAGTTCCTGTTATGCCCTGCCTTTTCACATCTGCTGTCTACCCAGCCATATCACTTCCTGTCTCCTGTCTGTACAGACCTCCAGATCTCTATGGTTAATTAGTTAGCTCCACCCTCTGATCTTCAGGCAAGCCTTATTTGTCAGAACACAAACAGACTATCACAACATTGGAAAGAGAGAGAGAGAATGGTAGAAAGAAAGAAGAAAAAAATGTGAATTTGGTCCAAAGTAGTATCTTATGCCTGTAGTCCCTGTACTAAGGAGACTGAGGTAAGAGGGTTATTCATAAGTTTGAGGCTAGCCTTAACTCTTTGTATGTCCCAGGTCAGCCTGGGCTACAGTGTGAAACTGCCTCACAAAAGAAGGGAGCAGGTGCTGGAAAGATGGTTCAGTGGATAACAGCTCTTGTTGCTCTTACAGAGGACCCAGGTTCAGTTCCCAGTACCCATATGGCAGTTCACAGCTGTCTATAACACCAGTTCTGGAGGATCTGATGCTATTTGCTGTCTTCTGATCTTTATAGCATCAGATGCTCACATGGTATATATAGATTTATGGAGGCAAAATACCACACGCATAAAATATACACATCTAAAAGTAAATAACGCAAAATGAGTCAGCCGATAAAGGCACTTGCCTCCTAGCCTGATGACTTAGCTCCATCCCAGGATCCCACTTGGTGGAAAGAAAAAACTGACTCCCAGAAGTTGTCTTTTGACTTCTACCAGTGCACCTTGGCATGCATGTATGAACACACAAAGACAAACTAATAATAAAGAAAAAGTAAACATTTGATGTGTTTTAGTCCATTGTTGTTATTATCCTTATAGATTTTCAGATTGTCTTCATCTGATTAAGAGGACACCATTAAGAACCTTCCAGAGGCCAGGTGGCGGTGGTGAAGCACACTTTTAATCCCAGCACTCAAGAGGCAGAGGGGCAGGTGGATCTCAGTGAGTTAGAGTCCAGACTGGGCTATACAGGGAACTCCAGGATGGCCAAGACTATGTAGAGAGACCCTGTCTCAGAAAACAAACAAACAAAAGACCAGCCTGAGCTACGTAGTGAGATCCGTTCTTTAAAAAAAAAAAAAAAAAAAAAAAAAAAAAAAACAGCCAGATGGTGGTGATGCACACCTTTAGTCCCAATACTTGAGAGGCAGAGGTTTTTTCATATTGAATAAGGAAATGTGAGTTCGAGGCCAGCTTGGTCTATAGAGGGATATCTAGGACAGGCTCTAAAGCTACACAGAGACACCCTGTCTCAAAAATAAATGAATGAATGAATAAAAAAATAAAAACAAGCAAACACAATGATTATAAATGTAGCTCAGGGGACTGAGAGATAGTTCAGTAGATAAGGGTACTTGCCATCAAGCCTGATGACCTGAGTTCTATTCCTGATGCCCAAATAGTAGAAAGAAAAGAAAGAGACAGAACGGAACAGAGACAACTTCTCCAGGATGTCCTTTTACCTCTGTGTATTTCATGGCCTCTGCATGCATGCATACATACACACAAAATAAATAGGTTTTTTTTGTTTTTGTTTTGTTTTTTTTTTTTTTTTAAAGAAAGAAATGTAGGTCAATGGTAGAGTGCTGGTATTTGTAAGATTTTAGGTCCAACCATCTACAGCATGAAAATGGGGGAAAAGTGGTAAGGGATGGTAAACAACATCTGCCTTACATGGTTTCCTTGTTCTGGCAATTACAGTTAATATATTCATGAAACTGTCCCCTACATTTAGGAGGAGGGTGGTATTTTTTGGAAGAATTCTTGATTGTTTTTTTGAGACAGGTTTCTGTAAGTAGTCCTGGCTGTCCTGGAACTCACTCTGTAGACCAGGCTGTCTCAGAGATCTGCTGGCCTCTGCCTCCTGAGTGTTGGAATCACTCCCTTGCTAGAATTCACAATTGTTAAGGATGGCATCTTATGTGCATACATCCACACATACATACAGCCCCCCCCAACACACACACACACATACACACACACACACACACACACACACACACACACACACACACGGTGTTTTAATAAACCATAATTTAATAACAAACTATATTAAAACAATGATAAGATAATCTTGCCTACAGTTTTATAGATTACTAATTAGGGATGAGGGTTTGAGAGAAAGCTCTTTCAATAAATGCTTACCACACAAGCCAGAGGACCCTGAGTGACCTTCAGCATAAAAATGCTGGGCTGGGAAGATAGCATAGTTGTTACACACTTGTCTCACAAATGAGAAGCTGCTGGGTGTGGAGATGCAGAGACAAAGGCTGCCTGGGGCTAGCCCCTAATCAGTGAGCACCGCCCCCCCCCCCCCCACGTCTTGACAGTTCTGGTGGGATTGGTTGTGTTAGAAAATCTATTTCTGTAAGGCTGCTTTACTGTCTGACCTGACGCCTTGGGCTTCTTATTGCTCTCAATCTCCAACTTTGGTAGTTCATTTTCTAGGGAATCTCCTGTCCTATGACTTCTGAAGATAACTACACTTCCTGTATTTGTTTACTTTTTTAGAGACAGGACATAGAATCTACCAGGCTGCTTAAGATCTCTCTTCAGAGCATGCATAGGGCATGGTCCTGTTCTGTTGTTTAATCAGTCATGAGAGCCACTCTGTGGGTAAACAGACCCTATATCTTTATTTTTATTTTAATTTTTTTGCCAGTGCTGGAGATTGAACCCAGTGCTTTGTATATATGTCCTAGACAACAAGTCCTCAACCACTGAATTACATCCCCAGACCTTACCTCTTGACAGAAGTGTCAAGGCTACATTAAAGAAGAGGAGGATGAGAGATATCTTTAATGTATATGTCCTCAGCATATTGTATTGGGAGTTTGTTTTCACCTCAGAACTAATGAAGATATCGTAGGGCTTTGCCAAGGTTAAGCAAGTCACTGTTATACTCTTCAAATGATATTAATAGGAATAGACCAAGGCTGTACTTGGGAGGCAGAGGCAGTCGGATCTCTGTGCGTTTGAGGTCAATCTGGTCTAGAGTGAGTTCCAGGACAGGCTCCAAAGCTACAGAGAAATCCTGTCTCAAAAAAACAAAAAACACCCCCCCCCAAAAGGAATAGACTAAGGACCCAACATAGATTAAAAAAAAAAAAAAAGAATCATTTATTTGAAAAAGTCTGTCATTTATTCTTTTGTGACATCAAATAAACCATCAATCAAAATAATACATACCTTGAGTACTTTCAGTACTCACTATGATTTTTTTGTCTGTTTGCTTTGAAGCAGTCTGTGTTGTCCAGTTTGTCCCTGGGTACCTGGGCTTAGGAGTCCTCCTAGCTCCCTCTTTCAGGGCAGCTTAATTTTTGATGTTTTGAGACAGGGTTTTTCTGTGTAAGGCTGGCTGTCCTGGAACTTGTTCTGTAGACCAGGCTGGACTCAAACTCACAATGATCTGCCTGCCTCTATCTCAGGAGTGCTGGGATCAAAGGCATGCACCACTACCGCCTGGCTTTTAGTTTTTACATTAGATTTATTTAACAAGTACCAGGTAGAGCCCTACAAAGAGCAGCACACTTCACTGTATAGTTCTGGAACTTGGTTTCAACCCACTATCTATCTTAACTGCTTTCTCATTGACCAAACAAATTTAAAATGACTATGGCTTAAACATGCAAAACAAACATCATAATTAAGCTGCAGTTATATAGTTAAGCCTTTGTTAAGTACTATGTAAAGGAATAGGTTAAGTAACCTCTCTTTGAAGAAGCCTACTTCTGTGTAGAGACCCAGGATCTCAGCACTGGGAAGTTAAGCAACAGGAATCTGGATGTGGTGTGCACTTTTATAATTCTAGCACTGAGGAGATGCAGGCAAGAATAGCAAGAATTCAAGGTTCCTGTTTGAGGCCAAACCTAGATGAAACCCTGAGGCCAAACAAAATAAAACCAAATGTGTATGGGGGTGGGGTGGGGGGCACGCCTTTAATCCCAGCACTTGGGAGGCAGAGACAGGCAGATCCTTGTGAGTTCAAGGCCAGCCTGGTCTATAGAGCTCCAGGATAGGCACCAAAGCTACACAGAAAAACCCTGTCTCGGAAAAACAAACAAAGACATGGCTTCAGGAAGTGGAAGACTGATTCCTAGATGCATCTTATATAAAGAACCCTTTAGAGGTCTAATTGTGACTAGATTTCAGAACCTGTTTGTGATATTCAAATAAAATACTCTGATGTTCTCCAATTAATTTAGCAGTTAAGGTGTTTGATGGATGAAAGCACTTAAGGTGATTACAGCTTACTATTTGCAGTGTAGAACCCTTAGAACCCTTCTTTGCATGTTGTATGGATTCCTCTAGTCCTGCCTCAGGGAGGAGAGTGAAAGGTTGGATGCCAGCTCCTTATCCCAGTCTTCAGCCTCCCTCTTTACCTGTAGACCAGATTGGTTCTTTATAAGACTTTAAATGGCAGAAAGATTTCATTAATTAAAAAGTCTTCAAATGAAGTTAGATTAAAACTAATCTGGCTGTTGAATGGCATTTGTAGGAATTGATTTTTCAGACAGTTTTTCTATGTTAATTTTGATACTAGTTGTAGACCTTTAATAATTGTTTACAACTGAAATAATTTCATTACTTTCTGCAGACAAATATGTAGGAAATGGTGTTGATATTATCTCCCGGCAACTGTTTTCTTCTTGCTGAATAGATGATTTAACAATATTGAAATCATTTATCATAAAGTAGGAATAGTAAAATTACATGTTTTCTAAGTGTAAAAGATGAATTGGCTTCCAGTTAGAATCTTTGCATAATTTTGAGTGTGTTCTTGTTTTGTTTTCTGTGCAGTTAAGAAAGATTGGGGGTGGGGGCTTTGGAGAAATTTACGATGCCTTGGACATGCTCACCAGGGAAAATGTGGCACTGAAGGCAGAGTCAGCTCAGCAGCCAAAGCAAGTTCTGAAGATGGAGGTCGCCGTGTTGAAGAAACTGCAAGGTAAGCTTCTTTGAATGACATATAGTGCAGTTTTGAATGATAGTTTGTAATTGCTTTAATCTTCCCTGGTTAAGTTCTCTACACAAATGGACCACTCTGGTCTCAGCTAGGTGTAAACATGCTGAGTATGTTTGTGGTGAGCACTTTATTATATAATAGAAATATGAGATTGCTAGAGTAATTGGGCTTTGGGAATTCCTTTTCACGGTGAGGATGGGAGATAATTAGAATCACCTTACTGCTTTAGAAAGTGTTGTCCTAAATCTGCTATGGCAACATTTGAATCTTCCTTTGAACTAATCATAAAATACCTCTGAGATATTTTTGCACTTGCCTTTGTTAAGCATTCTTGATTCACATCATGGAAGCTATTTTCAAATCATACTGCAGGATGGGTTAAAAATGGTAGGTAAGGTTTTGTGTTTTGTGTGTTCTCATTAACTTTAGTTTCAGAGCATATAGCTCATAGTTTCTGAAGTTCTTCTTACTACTACTCAGGTACCTATATTTTTACTATAAGGACAAATCATTTTTTTCTGATGTCAATCTGATTGTCATGTAAAACTCTGAATATGTTGATAGTGTCTTATCATCTCTGTGTTTAATGTGGTACACTGGTATTACTGTATTACTAATATCAATGATACATAAGGTTGATGACCATTGTTCTTTGTTCTAAGATTTCCAGTTGTTCAAGTTTCTCTACCAGTTGTTTAATTGGATTATAATGTAATGCTAATAAAAGTATACATTTCAAAGTTAATTTTAGCTCAAATTTAGCTTTCTTATGGCATAGTACATTAGGAAGATAGTAGATCACTCAGCCCCCATTTCACTGCTATAAAAAAACAAAGAATCAAAAAAATAAAAACAAAGAAAAGGATGGCTCTTTCACACCCCTTCCCCCCTTTTCTCTTCTGGTTTTTCTCAACTCAGTGTAGAAGCCACAGATAACTATTGCTGGGGCTGCCTCCTCCAAGGCTGTGCAGAGCCTGGGTGATGTCCTCTAATACTGGCTGAGCCCATAGGGGCAGAGATGATCAGCAGAGCTTGGCCTGACCAGTGCCACTTCACTAGTCTCTCCCTGACCCCGGACGTGGTCCTGGGAGACAGGAGATACTGCTGCAGCTCTTGCAGGAGTTCTCCTGGCTACTTTGGCCTTGATTTGCTTAGGATTCCATATGATAAAGCTTAAAGATGTTTACTTCTTTTGTGGGTAAAACTTGCTGAGTTCATTTTATGAGAAACTGTTGGGCATTTGTGCTCTTGTCAGTTTATTATTTAAAAGTTACTGTCTAAATGTTTTTCTTGTCTGCTCTACCTATATAAACCCCATTCCTCAGAACTCCTTACTTTCCACAATGGAGTTTCCTCCATTGAAGTTTCTTAAAATTTTAAAAATTTTAAGAGAACTAGCTCTATAGACTAGGCTGGCCTTGAATTCATAGAAATCCACCTGCCTCTGCCTCCTGAGGGCTGGGATTGAAGTTGTGTAGCATCACCACCTGGCAAGAAGCATTAGTGTTTTTTGAAGGTCTGATAAAATTTACCAGTAAAACCATCTGGACCTTGTCTTTTTTTAGTTGGGAGGTTTAAAATTATCATTTCAGCTCACTGTTATAGATCGTATTTTGTGGGTTTTTTTTTTGTTTGTTTGTTTGATTTTATTTTGTTTTTTGTTTGTTCGAGACAGGGGTTCTCTGTGGCTTTGGAGGCTGTCCTGGAACTAGCTCTTGTAGACCAGGCTGGTCTTAAGCTCCCAGAGATCTGCCCACCTCTGCCTCCAAAGTTCTGGGATTAAAGGTGTGCACTCCCACTACTCGGCTATTGTTATAGATCTGTTTAAACTGTCTAATTTTGATTTAATTTGGTATGTCATGTGCATCTAGAAATTCATTCCTTTTAGATTTTCCAGTTTATTGGCATTATGCTTTCAAGGGAAGATTTAGTGATTTTTTTTTTTTCCTGAATTTCATTGATTTCTCTTGCAATTGCTCACTTTTCATCTCCAGTTGTATTAATTTACACCTTTATTTGGTTAGTTTGGCTAAGACTTTTATAATCTTGTTTATTTTTTTTAATGAACCAACTCTATGATTGAGTTTTTGTATTCTGTTAGTTTCAAGTTCATTAATTTCTTCCCGGATTATAGTGATGTCTTTCTACTTTAAGATTTGACTTGTTCTTGAATTTCCAGGCTCCTTAGGTATATCATTACTTATTTGAAAGCCCTTTGATTTTATAAAGTAGTCCTTTTAGGATTGCTTTCATTGTATCCCACAGTTTTGTGGTGTTTTCATTTTTATTTGATTTCAGGAATTTTTAATTCCTTTTTCATTTTTTCAAGGGCCCATTCATCATTCTGTAGTGTGTTGTTTAATCTCCATGAGTTTGTGTTTTAGAGGTTTTACTCTATTGTGTACAAAGCAAAGAATTATTTCAGGTTTTGGTTTTTGTTGTTGTCATTGTTGCTGTATTTTGTATTGTTGAGAATTGCTTTTTGTCCTAATGTGTGATCCAGCTTAGAGAACATATCATGGGCTGCTGAGACCATGTATTCTGTAGAATGTAAATAGAGAGTTCTATAGAGGTCTGTTAAGCCCATTTAATCTCTAATGTCATTTAATTAATGTATTTCTCTGCTAGTCTTTGTGGGGAAGACATGTCAGTTGGTGAGAGTAGAGTATTCAGGTCAACCACTGCTGTTGTGCTAGGGTTAATCTGTGGCTTTGCATCAAATAATTTTGTTTTGTGAAATTGAATCCAACTGTGTTCAGGGCATATATGTCAGGAGTGTTATGTTGCTCCCTAATGAGCATCTTTATCTTTGAAGTCCATTTTTGTTAGATATTAGAAGAGTAACATCTGCTTGTTTCCATTTAAGTGAAATACTTTTTTGCCCTAAGGTAATATCTGTCTGTTGCGTGTTTCTTAGAGGCAGCAAATATATGGTTCCTGCATTTGATCCAGTTCACTTGTCTGTATCTTGATTGGGGAATGATGACCAGTAATACTCAGAGTTATTGTTGAAAGGTGTGTATTGATTGCTGTCATTTTGTTTATTTCTGCAGTGATCTTTTCTTGCATAACTGCTATTCTAGTGTCTTTTATTTCATAGATGGATTTTTTCTTTTCAGTTTGAAAAATCCTTTCAGTATTTTCTGTAGATCTGGCTTAGGGTCATAAATTACTTTTGTCTGCTCTTTTCATGGGAACTTTATTTCTCTGTCACTTACAACAAATGTCTTTATTAGTTGTAGTAGCCTGAATTGACAGTAGTTTGTCAGAAACTGAAAATAGGGCCAATGAAATAGCTCAGTGGATAAAGGCTTTTACCACCAAGCTTGATGACCCGAGATCAATACCAGAGTCACATAATGAAAGGAGAGACTAGTAGTGCCCTCTTACCCCTGAGCTGCTCTGTGGCTGTTCTGAACCTCTCAGGCCAGGTGTGTGAGGAGCAGTTCTTTCCTTACTGTCTGCTGCTCTCATAGGCAACTTGATTTCTGCCAGCAGTGAGCATGCTGCTAGGATTCTCAGTTCTCCTGCCTGCTTCTCTAGTGAGAATCTCCCCCCTGCTCACTAAGTTCATTTGCAGAATTTGTCTCTTGATGGATACAGTGGGCACTTTTCAATTTGTGGTTCTTTTGTTTTGTTTGCAAAATGATTTCATTATGTTGACTAGGAACTCTCCTTGCAGACCAGGCTGCCCTTGAACTCACAGAGATCTGCCTGTCTCTGTCTCCTGAGTTCTGGGATTGTTTTGAAAATAAATCTGTATGCTCTTCTAAATTGCAAGTGTCTCTCCCTGTTTCTGTCTGTCTCTCTCTCTTTTGAGACAAGGTTTCTCTGTGTAGCCCTGGGTGGCTTGGAACAAAACAGGTCTTGAACTCTCCGAGATCTACCTGCTTCTGCCTCTGCCTCTCTGACTCTGGCTCTCAAGTGATGGGGTTAAAAGTGTGGGCCACTATGCCTGACAGTTAATATTTTATTACAGTGGAAGCAGGCACTTGGATCTTCCAGAAAATAACTTTTTTTGGTTTTTTTGAGACAGGGTTTCTCTGTGTGGTCCTGGCTGTCCTGGAATTTGCTCTGTAGATGAGGCTTTCCTTGAACTCACAGAGACCCTGAGTGCTGGGATTATAGGCTTGCTCCACCACCACCTGACTTGAGCTTTTCTATTTTTGCTATAAAAGGGTCCAATATTTGGGGAATTTAGAATGTTGTAAAATTACTTGATATCTTTTTTTTTTCTTAAGATCTTTAAAAGCTTATACATTCTTCATTTGTTTCTGTTTGTTATAAAATTTTATTACTCTGCTACTGCTGCAGAGCATGACTACTCCCTTACCCTACCTAGTCTTAAGAATAAAAAAATAGAGCTGGAGAGATGGCTCAGTAGATTAGAAGTACTTGCTGCTCTTCCAGAGGACACAGCATCTACATAGTGGTTCAACCATCTGTAAGCTCAGTTCCAGGAAATTCAAGGTCCTTTTTGATTCCTGTGGGTACTACATGGGTATGATACACAGGCATACATGCCCATATACATAAAATAAAGTAAGCATTTAAAATGAATAAAAGAATATAAAATATGGAGTAGCTGGATTAAACCATTGGTCTAATAAGTATAGAAGATTGATTGCCTAGGAAAGTTCCCAAGGACCTTATACCTCATTGTAGCCTTTATTCTTTTATAAGTCTATAATCTGCTCTTTTGATGTACATTGTTTTCCTCTTAAAGTTATTTGTACATGCTCTTGTTGATGACCTTCATTCTGTCAAAGGGTAGTAGCAGATCTCTGAGATCTTTATTTGTTCAGTTGAGTCTTATAAACATTGTTTTTTTTTGTTTTATTTTGTATTGCTTTTTAATAATTGTGTGTGCCTGCACACTCATGAGGGTAGAGTGTGATGTCAAGAGGACAACTTTTGTGGATCCAGTTCTCCTTATCTACCTTCTACCCTTACATGTGTTCCAGGGATTGATCTCAGGTAGT